TGTTGAAACATTATAAACAACAATACACATACATACGATAACAATCTCCCACTGTAAATTAGGACTAGCCTAATTTATTTTAAATCAGTCATAAATTTGACAAAAAATACTTTTAAAACTATTAACACCATATTGGCAGCGATTTAGTGGGTATCTCACATGATCACAGCAGCATAATGATTTCGCACTATCTCAATACATTAATAATAATTTCCCACAATTACGGCAACACGCTTGATCATCTCTCATGGTTATAGCAACAACAATGATAAATTTCTGCGATCTCGGCAGATTTTGTCATTCATCAATCACGATCGCGGCAACAATCGTAATGATTTTTTTCAAACTCAGCGACTCCCAGGAGTAGGGCAACACTTTGATAAATTTCAGCGATTGCAATTTTTGCTTGATGACATTTCAAAAATAGGAAAACAGTGATTAATAAAAAAAAACTTCCAAGATAGGTACATCTTGTACAATATATGTATTGGTACAATATGTTTGAGCTATATGTTTATTTTGTCCCAAGCGCAGGGCCTTTCGAGGTCTCTTCTTTAAACATACTTGAGGAACTAAGCAGCAATCCTCAATTTACTAACCGCCCCATCCAGCTATCTTGTTATTTTGTTGATTCCTCAGATTTATTGTATCCTTACAATATAAATCACTTCTACAGGGTGTCCCGGAACTCTCTACCAATATTTTAGGGCATTGCTCCTGGGTAAGAAACATACCTAAATATCATATTTAAATTGTCCGGAAGTCCTTAGTTACTCACACAGCCGCCATTTTGTTTTTTTCAGTTATTAATTTTTTTCTAAAGAATGGGTAAACATACGAAATGGAAACTTTGCACAAGCATTATAGACAACTAGACAAAGCTACAAAAAAATTATGACAATTTTTCAAATTCATAAAACAAAATGGCGGCCATTTAAAATTTTGTTTCTTAATTAACTCAAAAACCGTTGATTTTATAAAAAATTTAAATGGCCGGCATTTTGTTTTGTGAATTTGAAAAATCGTCATAATTTTTTTGTAGCTTTGTCTAGTTGTCATAAATGTTTGTGCAAAGTTTCCATTTCGTATGTTTAACCATTCTTTAGAAAAAAATTAATAACTGAAAAAAACAAAATGGCGGCTGTGTGAGTAACTAAGGAGTTCCGGACAATTTAAATATGATATTTAGGTATGTTTCTTACCCAGGAGCAATGCCCTAAAATATTGGTAGAGAGTTCCGGGACACCCTGTATAAATCACTTTTTGTGATACTGGCAATCAAATCTTTGTTCCTTTAATTCAATTGTTGCAACTGTGTTCATATTCTTTACTAGTTAGTTCCCCTGAAACCTGTAAAGACAAGCATATTTAGTTTTATTAAGATTTTTTTAGCATCTTATGGCAGGTAAATACTGCTGTTTGTTGTTACTTAAATATTTTCACCTTGGCTAAACACATTTTTATTTGAGACTAATGTGTTTTGTAAATAACAAACTGAAGAATAAATCATTATATTTAACCTATCACTCTTGTGCAATAAGTTGTGTAGTTTACTTTAAACAATACAGTAATTATCCTACTCTAGCAAACTAGACAATAAAAATATGGGTTTTCTTATATATTTGGAAAATTTTCCCTGCTGACCAAAAAAGTAAAGGTTCTTTGGTATTACTAGATTACACCTATTAACTATGGATGCATCTGTTCAAAGTGGTGAATTTAGGATGCTACTGAAAAATGTCAGCTTGATCATGATCATTCAATACTTCTTTCTTACTCTTATAAACGTCTTATAGAAATTTTTACCCGTAAACCGGTAGTTTACACCAGGTATTGAGTTTTGTTCTTCAATTAAATACAGGCCTAGATCCTTGATAATTAATAAAGATCTCCATATTCACAGCAAGTAGCGTTATGAACAGTCCCAATCACAGCCTTTCAAAATTCCTTCCTCGAATTGAGAACCAACCAATCAGTTAGTTTACAGTGATTAAGTGTACCTATCATTAATTTCACAACTATAAAACCAGAAACTTTGTAAGTTTTGTTGCAAGTCTTAAAGGAAGCCATAAATAAATAATTAATTGAGAGAAACCTCAATAATATTTTTTCTGTGTCATTGGCATCCTTATTTTTGAAGGCAGTCAAGTTTATACTAATTAATTATTTTCTCTCTCGATGCTGTACGTGCAGTCAAACGTAATACTGTTACTGTAAATTTGCACTATACTATAAGGTTCCTTCAGATTAGACATATTAAAAAAAAAAAACTGTCTAAGAGCCGTACTTAAATAGATTACATACTTGGTACGACATATAATAAAAACAAATTTTTTTATTCACACACACATCTAAATTCATGTAACATGATTAGTTTTTGTAGACGACTGGAAAAATCATAAATTATATCTATAAACAAATACAGTAGCCTACAGAGTAATTTATATAGCCTAACCAAATGTGGATAAAAAACGTTTAATCAATTAAGTTATTTGAAATCAATGAAGTTATTATAAATACGTTAAAAATAACTTAAAGAAATTTTTCTCAGCATCTGGCAAGTGATAAAAAAAATTATTCAGTTACTGTTCCATCCTGGAGGGTCGTTTGATGGACTTTATATGAAAGAGACTGGTTGAAAGTTTGAGAAAACTAAGGTGTTAGAGTGAGTAATGCTAAGTGGGTTTAATACCACCATGAAACGGGTATATATAGAACTGCAAGCAAACTTCACTGACCGGCCTCCTGATGATAGTAAGTATGGAAGTCAAAAATCTATTTTTTTCAGCTTCCCATACATTTTTATTAAGTAAAATATATTGTTAGTAACAGACGTATGATAAAAAATTGTCGAATAGTTTCATTTTTACCAGTACTTTTTTATTTTTTCAAAAGATATGATCCAGTGAAGTATTCAAATGTAGCATCACAGGTGTACCGTGATAATATTTTTTAGGTTGAGATCATCTGTCATAGTTCAAGGCTTTAGCCTACATACAATAAATTACTATGTATATATGTTTTTCATTACATCAGCTATCAGCTTAAACACATTACCAGTTGACTAAAATTGATCTACCTTTAACACCCACTTACATATTAGATTTAATTTTATGGGTTTTAATTGACTTCTTAATATTATATAATTCGTATTTAATTGACTCAATATGACAATTAATGATTGCCGATTGATAGCCGAGGAGGAAGTGTCGAAGTTGAGAAGTTGTCGTAAAGACTGACCTCTGGCCTTACTTCCTGCCGTTGTTAACAGCTCTACTTGCATACCTTTCTTATCACTTCTATCTCAGCTATGTCCCACTCTTCTCTATGCTTATTAACATTTTTAAGAGTTATAATAGGCCAACGGGTGAGATTACTTGAGTAAGGATTTTTAGATTTGTAATTACTAATTAGCTTGACCAGATAACCTAATGATAAGATATCAGTGATTTGCTATTTGCTAGTTATTATTTACTTCAAATTTCCTTTAGTAGTTTACTAAGCTATGGGAATAGTGTGTGAGCTCTCAAGTACGTACGTAAAACCTTTAAAATGTATATTTTAAATGTGAAAACATAAATTCATTAAAGAGTTATATTATGTTGTTTTAATTGAAATAGATTGATAAAAGATAACAGTTTGATTCAAATAAGTAAAATAAAATATCTAATTAATTATCTACATAACTGAATGTACCAGCAGTTTTTTTTCAATTTCAGTGCACTGAATAAACAATTAAATGTTTTGTAGGCAAAATATGTGTTAGTTCAGTAAAATAATTTTAAAATGCAACTCTGTTTAACTTTGGGTTTCTTATTTACATACTTGTGGCATTGTGTCTCATAATTACTATAACATATTGAAACAAAAAATAACTTGTACGCAATTGTAACTTAACACCATTTTGAAATTTGACGTACTGAATGTTGATAATCACTGGTATAATTCTAATTTCAAATTATTTTGTTCTATTAAAATGACAAAAAAACTGATGTTTTTATTATAATTTTTCATCAGGAAATTTGCAATGCTGTATTTAAACAAAATCACATTTTTTAAGTGTTGTTCAGAGAAAAATTATGCTTAAAGCCTATGGGTTTTGTTTTATCATGCTGACTCAATCGAACTGTAAACAACCCAATTTATGAAGAAAACATATACTTACAAAATGTTATTTGTAATGTTGATTTTTAGTGAATTACCCATATAGGGAATAAGCTATTACCGTAGGTCTCATGGTAAAAACTAGACCCGGTACTGATTTACTTTTTACGTTTTGAGGTCCCCAGAGGCCAAAAACAGGGTAGCGGAATTTTACCCCCTGTCGAAACTGACGTCATAAACCAGGGGGTGAAATTCCGGCCGCGAACTTTTGAGTTGCACAGCATCAGTTAAATAGATTAATGGTGGAATATAATGTATATTTTCACGGTTGTGAATTTAATCAGAACACATCAAATTATAAAACCTAAAGTGTACTGGCTGGAATTTTACCCCCGGACTTTCCCCCCTTAATGAGGTCAGCTCAAAATGTATGGCCCGGATTTTTAGCCCCAGAATTTTACCCCCTGGCCAGATATAGAAATTAATGGGAATGATTAATTTTCTTCATTCAGTTTTAATTTAATAGTAGGCCTAAACATTTTACATACATATTAACCAACAGTTGGCCCCAAACCCGAATATAAAATTAATTACCGATAGGCTACTTAATAATAAAATGTTTACTATTAAATTTAAACTGAAAGAAGAAAATTAATCATTCTCAATAATTTCTATATCTGGCCAGTGGTAAAATTTCGTGGGGTAAAAATCTGGGGGTAAAAGTCTGGGCCGTAGGTACTTTCAAATATAGTGTACTAAAGTTGTATAGATTAGAAATTTTCCTGTTTATTTCTTGAACATTTCAGCTAAAAAAATACCCTGAGCTATGTAGGAATGATCACGATTACTTAAAGAGTAAAATGTAACTGTTATTGAATCAAAATCTATTGTTTCAGATCTCGTGAGTGGTGGACCATCCCCACCAGCAGAGGACGTAATGTCGGAACACGCCAACGGTGTTGGAACCGACCAACATCAACCCGAACACCTGACTAACGGGGATGAACCTCCAGTGCAACCTGTCAACTTCATAGTCGGGGACGAGGGAGAAGGGGCGTCCATAGAAAACGGCCACACGGAGGAAGAAAAACAAGAAAACACTGATGCCTTCCCTGGAGAGAACACCACCAAGAATGCTTCTTACAAAGACTTGTTTGGGCTTGCTGAGCGACGAAAAAGGCTCAGGTGAGTTTTGTAGTTTGGCATCTAAAAACATTTTGTTGCTTGATATTAAGGCTCTACCTCAGCTCCTATTTCTCAGTACGATGTTGCTTAACTCCGATGTTCCTATACTATTGCACTGCACAGCGCCATAAAGAGTGCTCTCAAGCGTTTTGAATCTGGGTGATTACATCGTTATCCTTAAACCTTTTAGTAAACTAACTGCAGATTCTCGCTTTTAAGAATCTATTGCACTTCGCTATACATACGTTAGTAGGGCTATTGGGTATGTTTGAATCAGTCTGATACCCGAAATGCTGAAATTTAATCTTTAATATAGTGGATAAACTGACACATACATCCCCCCATTAGATATTTAACAACCCTTAAAGCATGTTGTAAGCGGTGGAAGTAACTGATATTCCATGGGTAAACCACAAAAATTGTAATAGTAATCTTGAATAGTAATCTTTACAGCATTGGGAGGTTGTACAATTATGTCTAGAATTAAATGAGCTACCAGAAAAACATAGCCTACACAATTTTAATCAAAATCGTTCAAGCCGTTTTTGTCAAAATCTGAAATGAAAAAATGATCTTATATTTCCCTCTACATACAAGGCTAGTAAAACTCATTTCCCTCCAACATTTTATTTGCTTTTGGTAGGTTTTTGGACCTGTTGGTGAATGTGTTGTGCTGTTACCTACTAAACTCTTGGGGAACTATGTATGCAAACACTAGATTAAAAACACATTATCATTAAGAGAATCTTATTTTGGTTACAACTGAATTAAAATGATTTACCGTAGCAAATATGTTAAGGAGTATCAAAATGTAGGCCTAGGCCTACCGTAAGAACTTGCAATTTATTTTATTATTTACTTCTATTTTAGATTTTGTTATGTTTGTTGTTTTTATTACCTCATACATGCGAATGGCCGAGGTTTTGTTTGGGTTTGGTGCAGGGATGTCACTTACTTCAATGTCAACCTCACTAACAACGAGGCCATCCGTGACTTTCGTTAGAAGATAGGCCTGTAAGAGAGCGTGCGGGATACCAAAGGACACGTCGACGTGGGTGGGGATTTTAACCCTCCGAGTGTTATTTGTTGCTGCAGCGACACATAACACACTTTGTGTAGTGTTTTGTGTCGCTGTAGCGACTCACAAACACTGTTTACGACGAAGGCTCTATGACTGACAAAATCGGATTGAACTGGATCGAGTTAGGTATCGTTTTATTTGACAGATTCAGAGCTTTCTCCGGAGGTCTGTCTCTAAGCGCTATTCATTTTAGTTCCAAAAATATTGTAGCAGACAGCTGACGTGTGTATTTGTAAACAGCTTGGTTAACCTCGGACCGATGACTGATGTGTTTTATTACGTTTATCATTGTTTTAGTGTTAAAAATCAAAAGTAGTGATATACGTGGTGCATTATAAGAAGATTTAAGTGATTTTGAAGGGCTGGTTGATGATCCTGAAGAAGTAGGTAGGGATATTGATGTAAATTATCAGCCAGATTCCTAGCTATGGTTAGGCTATGCATTCTTAGCTAAACGCTATGTAGCCTACTGAAATCTGTTTTTTGCCCATAACTTATTTATTTGCAAATCTACTTCCTTATATTACTATATATTTGTAATTGTCATAAAATTTAGAACAAAGTGGCTATTTTCAAATATTTATAGGCCTATAATTTATACAATTTCATCGAGCGCGAACTTATTTTTTTTTTGAAAATTTTCCAAAATATCTTTTTTTTACCTAAAAAATTTTTTCAGTATGGGGTGATCTATGGTCGACGCTATTTAGGAGGTGAAGCAAGCCATGATGAGAGCTGAATATTTTAACCACTACTCTTGTAGGGTTGTGCTGCTCGTAACTCTTGATGTGCGAAACACATATTTAATTCCACAAGGTGGCGTGATATGCTGAGGACGCTCTGGAGAACACCTTTCACCTCCCGGCATACCTCATGCGCATCATAGAGGATTGAGGATGTTACCCCCCATTACTTACTAAGTAATGAGTAATAAGTGATAAGTAATAAGTTATCTGCTCATGAGGCGGTATCTCCGGTTCCGCATCCTCATGTATGACACTACAGAAGGCCCGCGGACGATGAGTGTCACTTCTGCTGCTGCCCAAGGTTCCATACTCGGCCCAAACCTCTGGAATGTCGCTTATGACAGCCTTCTGAGGTCTGAAATGCCTGAGGAAACTATTTTGGTTGGGTACGCAGACAACTTTGCAGCTTTGATAGCTGCACATAGCGTTGGGCTGGCTCAGCTAAAGCTGAACGAGTTATGCGTACCTTAAACGCATGGATGGCAGACCACGGTCTCTCGCTCACTTTGAACAAAACCGAGATTGTGATTTTGATAAAAAAAAAAACGGATTGACCCCGTCATGTCGTTCCAAACTGGTCCAAACCGTTCTTACTGCCAAGTACCTTGGGGTCATGGTGGACAGCAAGCTTAGCTGGCGGTATCAGATCTTCCGTACGGATCCCCGTCAAACTTTTGGCGGCGGAGAGGAAGGCAATTTATCAGCGCCGTGGGGAGGACCAGGCTGGAACAGAAGAACGCACCCTCACCTACCAGCTATGGCAGGAGAGCTGGGAACAGGAGACACGGGGACGCTGGACCAGGCGACTGATACAGCAAGTCCAACCTTGGCTTAATCGGCGGTGCGGGGAGGTGAACTTCTACCTCACCCAATTTCCGACGGGTCACGGCTTTTTCCGGTCGTACCTGTTCAGGATGGGAAAAGCCGTGTCACCTGATTGCATATACTGCCCAGGCATTCCCGATGACGTGGAACATACTTTTTTCCTCTGCCAGCATTGGGAAAGGCCCCCTGGAGGCTCAACAGTTCGTTGGACTGCTGTCGGTGGACACGGTCATACCGATGATGATGGAGAGTGAGGGCAATTGGATCTGTGTGTCACATTACATCCAGGGTATCCTCTGCGCTAAGAAGCTCAACCTTGACCGGGATGTGGTGCAGGTCATAAAGAATCTAAATGCCAGAAACAGTGCGAGCCCTGAGGGCTTAGGTCACATGTTGGCCTGACTTGAAGTAATGTGACAAACAATTCCAAGTCTGTGTCCAACAGAGTAGAGGGGGTTTTTAGTGATAGTCTGATAAATTCAGGAGTCTCACAATACAGACTGGCTACCTGTGTGCGTAAAAGCATTTTCCCTCCTCTCCCTAAAAAACCCATATATTCGATACTGTACTAAGTTTGGAGAAATATTTTTTATGTAGAGTGATATTCATTTGGGCTGATCATTAAATTTTATCCTGGGTAAAAGATTGATTAAGTAAGATAACAAAATTCAGGGAATTAAGAGAGAACTGGGAGTGAAATACAATGCTTAATATTGTAAAATAAAATGTAAATATTAAATTATCAATATACATATATACAGTATAGGAGCCTGATATAATGGGACAATTCAAGTCATGAAACAGATCATTAATATTAGATTCAGTTCATTACTTCATGACTTCTATTTATGTCTTTTATGTATATGTCTGTTAGCATGATAACATCAGTAAAAATCATCCAATCTTGATGAAATTTGGTACAAACGTATAAACCTACGTTAATAAATGAGTTTGCGAACCACCATGACCGGACTATGGGAACGAGGATTTTGGGGGTTTTAAATATGAACTCCACTGATTATATTAATTATAATTGTTAATAAATAATGACTTTAAACTACCTCCATTTCTTACTAAGCTACTTTTCTTTAACACTAAAAGAAAAGGATATTATATTTTTATTTTTTTAAATTTTCTGACGAGTTAAGTACTATTATAAAATGAATGGAAAGCGAACAACTATTTGTTATGTGTGAGTTTTATACTACATTTTTTGAATATGAATTATCTTAATGTTCCTGTGTTATTTTATATTAGATTATTATTGATTTTTCATACTTTTGGAATGTTAACTGTCTAAAGTATAAACCAAGAAAAATATATTTAAAGATATGCATTTGATTGGATAGGTTTTTGGTCTCTGGGGACATCAAAACAAACCTATGGTAATAGCTTATTCCTTATATGGGAAATTCGCCCAAAGAGAAAATCTCCAACTCATTTCTATTTAAAAGAAAACTGCAATTTGTAGCCAGCTGGTATATTACATTGGTTATTTAATGGGAATACTTTTTACTAGAAATACTTTTCCTCACTGAGAAGATTAGCCAAATAACCGCATCGATCTTTCAAGTACGGTATACCAAACTGGAAGGTATACCACTAATTAAGCTGATACATATTTATAATATGTACTTTTTCTAAAGTCATTTGTAGCGAGTGAATCGGTTTGTATTTAAGATGAAATCTTTCTACTGATATTTCCCCTGACCCATTATATCAAACTTATAAAAATAAACATTTGATTAAAACCAAAGTTGGAAAACAGCTCTTGAAGTTTGAACTAACCAAACTTAAAATGAGTATTACATTATTCAGGATGTTGTTATCAAATGTTTTTTTTTTTAAGCATAAGCAACAAAAAATAAACAGTTCAGATAAGTTCATAAAGTTGCATTGGTTTTCTTATCATTAGCATTCTCTAAAGCCACATTTTGCTATCAAGTTTAGTTGATTAAAAATAATGTACTATATATTATTATCATTGATTTATAAGACAAATGATTGTATAATATGTCTCTTTTCTATAGACTTATCTTTCATTCATTGAATCTTAAAAGTACTGTTGGTGTGTTTTCCCTTAACGTAATTATAATTTCTTTATAGGAATGAAGAGGTAAGCTTTTTAGTTAATTATTATATTATAACAGAAAATATATTTTGCATACTAACAGTTATGTTTAAAAACTCATTGAAAATTAAATACTGTAATTAAAACTTTGGAAGTAGTAGGCTATTTCTCTACAGGTAAATTATTTGATAAGTTTTGATTTGATAGGTCGTAGAAATTGTTTTTGGACCCAGTGAATAAACCATTTTCACAACCTCAATTGCCTTACAATTTATAA